CCCTAAACCCTAACCCTAAGCCCTAGCAACCTGCCAGGCAGAACGACCAGAACTACTGCGGCACGGACAGCACGCCTCACCACGGCAGCGCGTGCGAGAACGAGCCAGATACCCCGGTGAAGGCCTGGATCTTACATACCTGAACCTACCAAACCCTACTTTTTTGTAGGTTCTGCTTATAAACCCTCATATAAACTTTATAGGGACCCTGCAAATAAGTAGGTTTTGGTAGGTTGAGGTAAAGGTTTGAACAGCTGGAAACCATTGCCTGTTCGAGCCCCCTAAGGTCTGCGGTACCTGCGGTATCCTCTACGATGTGAGCTACCCAACCGGTGCTCGGGTGGTCGGCGTGGGATCCGGCGATGTCGACCGGTGAGATGCGCCGTGAGTTTTAACAGCGCTATAAACGTACCATAGGGGTCATAATCGGACTTCTACTACGTTATCATACCAGGATAGGGTGGGGGTATGCTCACCGGCGGACGTGCAGACTGCTGCAAAAGGCACGGCTGCATGTTGATTAAATGGTAGTATTGCTTATGTTACAATCGTTAAGTGTGACGGTGTTTTCTCTGTTTTGTCTGTGTGGGCCACCCCTGCCATTCTCGTGTAAGATCAGGTTCCGCGAAGTTTTGTAGCACGCGGAGCACAGGAGCACGCGACGAAGGCTCGTGTGTTTCCTTATGTTCCCACCTCCAGTTGTCCGGAGTGCAACATACGAGGCAGACAAAGGAAGGCATTACATCAGAGCCGTTGGGTTTATTGGTTTCCGGTTCGTGGCTTTCCCGAACTCTAAACCCTAGACCCCAAAATCTAAACCCTGTAAACCCTAAACCCCTAAACCCTAAACCCTAAACCGCAAGCCCTGAAGCTGAACTTGCACTTAGAGGATTTGCTGACATGTTACAAACCTCCACTGTGCCCGTCACCGCTGGCAACTGGGGACCCCATTACCATCTCTAGACCTTAGGTTTTGGAGGAGCTTTCTGGGGTTTTGCGAGGTTTTATGCGGGTTTTGCACGGTTGTTAACGGGTGTTTGTGGGGTTTTATTGGGGTTTATAGGGGTTTGAGAGCCTGCACAACTGTCGTCGACAAGTTTTTGGTCGTGTACCCTGAAGCCTTGTCGCCAACACTATGCCTTTGGGCTCTTAGTCGGTGACATCCTTACCAATCCCAGCCCGAAAACCGCCTAGACCCAAACCCGAAACCCGAAACCCTAAACCCTAAACCCTAAATCCTCAAGCCTATAAGCACGAAGCCAGAAGCCCGACGTCGCTCAGCCCAATGCTGATTTGAAGGAGTAGGCTACTTAGGGTTTAGTGCAGGGTTTAGGGTCTAGTTTGGGGCTTAGGGTTTAGGGTTTAGTTTGGCGTTTAGGGTTTAGGGTTGAAGGAGTAGGCTACTTAGTAAAGTGGCCATAATTAGCGGTAGACTCTCGTATAAACTACTTGCTGCGGCGGCAGCAGTCTCTGACATTCCAGAGCAGGAGAACATTGTGCTCAGCGACAAGGCCCTGCGGGTTTTTGTCGGAGTTATCTTTTCGATTTTCGGGTTCAGTGTAGATCATAAGCCCTAAACCCTAAACCGTTCGAGGATTCCGGCTCTAATCCTTAATTAGGGCTTAGGGTCGCGGCCTAAGCCCAGAACCCGAAAGCCTCAATCTACAAGCTAAGCCATGTCGGACAGAGGGTTTTTGATCACACATGTGTGTTAGATGATACAAGAATTAAGTCGTGAATTCGTAGGACAGTATACTACGGCTTTTCCAACCATGACTAGGACGGGTTTGGTGTATTTCATATTATAGTTGTAGCACGAACCCCTAACACTTCTCTGTGCTGAACCCTACGCCCTTAGATGCTAGACCTTAGCCCCCAACCCAACCACGCCGCAGCAGGCAGAGTACTGTAGGGGCCTTAATGATTAGAATAGGGTTTTGGAGGTTCCTATAATAAGTATAGTATAATATACCTCCAACCCTTATTCTAATTCTTAAGGCCCCTATATTACGTAAATTGGGAAGCCACGATGTCTGCCGCTTGACGGCATTAGGTCGTAGCAACTTTTCAACCTAACGAGCTTTAAACCCTAAACCTAACGAGGCCTGCGCTGTAAATGAAGGACGAACCCAAAGCCATACCGTCCATACCGTAACCGCGCTGTAAATGAAGGACAAACCCAAAGCCATACCGTCCATACCGTAACCCCTAAAGCCCAAGGCCCTATGCCCTAAACCCGAACACCCTGGTTTCTAGGGTTTAGGGTTTATAGTCTAATTCACCCATAGTGCCCTTATAGCACAATGACAGAACCCCTTAAGCGAACCGTAATAACACCCTGAGCCCAGCGTCTTAGCTTGCACCCCAGGGCTTCAACTCCGCAGCCATCTCCGAAGTCGGCTCTTCGCGGGTTAAAAGGCTCCAATGTGGGGGCTTGCGCGATTAGAAGAGGGTAGCGGGGTGCAAGTATATAGGCACTTCGGGGATACTAGTATGAACACCAAGACCCAAAACTTAAGCCGGAGACCCTAAACCCGAAACCCCTAAACCCCAAACTTCAACCCAAGATCCCAAATAAGCCCTTCTTGTAGTTTCAGACCCTAAACCCGAAACCCCTAAACCCCAAACTTAAACCCAAGATCCCAAAAAAGCCCTACTTGTAGTTTGGATGTCTCTCTGGCATCCCAACAGATCAGGTCCAGGCCTTTTTCGACTCCCCGGAGTGCCTCGTCTGAGAAGCTTTTGGGTAAGTTTCCGGGTTTCCGTGTCAGGATTGTTGAGCAGCCTTGCAAAAGCTCCACGAGTTTAGGGTTTAGGGTTTAGGGTTTAAGGTTCAGAATAAGGCTGATAGCGGCTGTTCTGAGGGGGTTCTGAGGTCTTAAGGGGCTCATAGGGGTTGTATAAGGGTTTTACACGGGCTTGATACGGGCTTTAGAAGGGTTGAGGGATGTCTAGAGGGTTTGCGAATTTCCACAGGGTCCTAAACCCTAAACCCTAAACCCCTTGATCAGGTTTTAACAGTGGTTGTCGTACATGGCCTTCAAGGCGTGGGTCGATTGCTTGAGGTTTCGGGTTCTTAGGGTTTAGGGTTTAGGGGTTTATTGCGTGTTTTGCGCGATGGTTGCCCACGGAACGCAATACCCCTTGAGTAAGGACTCTCCAGTATTTCTGGTTCCTGATCTCAGGGCTTGTGGGTGTAAGTCCTGCACCCTAAATACAAACGCAGACTTCGGACTATTTCGCCATGATATCCACCCCATTCAATTATGTTGCAAAAGGGCCCCAGATCCTATCGAAACAGTGAAGGCCCCTGTATGAAACCTACAAAGTTTGGCAGAAATTAGGTGGGCTTGACTTGCAGCTTCCACATCAGTGCTGGGTCGTCAGCACTTCATAGTTACCGATCCGCTATACTTCGATTCTACTCCGTGTTCAATTGCAGTAAAGCAAACTGCTGAAACCGCGTGCGTTGAATGTCGAAAAGGAAGAAGTACGTGAGTTTCGGATTTCCGCAAGGTAGACTTTCCCGCATCTGTGTGTGAGGCCAGGCGTTTGCCCACCCTAATCTAGGGACCTCAATAATTAGCTATAGTATTTTGGGTGTTCCTTGTTATATTTATAGTAGAATGGGCCCCAAAACCCTATTCTAATTATTGAGGTCCTTGCATTAAGCCAAGCCAAAGGCTGTCAACGCCGGCGAAGGGTTTGGGGTTTCGCAACCCGGGTTTCCCAAAGCCTCAACTTTCTCAGCACCAATAAGCACAGTTGCTCCCTACTCCCAACCCCCAACCTCTCGACCTGAAATTCTGCATGCGAAGCCACATTCAACCCAAAAGTCTGTACGACCAAAGCCGCATCGTGCTCATAGCCCCAAATCCTAGTGATATAGAGATCGGAACGGTTCTTAATGCTATTTCCTTACAGTCCTTCTACAATTTCAGCATCATGTACACTTGCTTTAATTATTCTAATTCTCAGCAGACGCCTCCCAGGATTGGAATCATCCGCGCCAAGGACGGGGTCACGAGATTTTGGGTTAATGGTTCAGGGTTTGGGTTCCTGGGTTTCGGGCTTAGGGCTTGAGCTGCAGGGATTCCTGGTTTACTGCTACTGAAGCTGCACCTGCTACTGTAAACCCTGATGCTTTGGGGATCAGCTTTGGGGGGATTGAGTTTAGTGTTTTGGCCCTGAACTTTCTACATGTATGGGAAACATACGACCAGTCCTAAGACCTTAACGTAGGTTCTAGAGGCACCTTGTGGTTATCCGAAACCCTACACCCTAAAACCGGCGCTGTACACCCTAAACACTGAACCTTAAACCTAAAGCTCTAAACCCGAAATCCCTAAACCCTAAATCTTAAGCCCTAAACCCCTAAGCCCTAATCCCCAGAAGAGCACCGAGAGCCCTTCAACCTGCGAAGGAGGTTCCGCCGCCCGACTGCGTCGCGAACTCTCTGAGGCAATCAAGGGGTTCATATATGGGGATAAGTAGGACTACTTGGGGCACCCCAAAACCTACATTTTTTTGGAAAGAAAAATACAAGCCATAATAAGGAACTCTGAAGGCAGGTTTTTTTCGGCGACAGCTATAAAAAACAAAAACAAATAGATATAAATACATGAATATACTTATAAATAAATAAACAAACGAATACATAAACAAAGATATATATATATATATGTATGTATGTATGTATGTATGTATGTATGTATGTATGTATGTATGTATGTATACATACACATACATTGATATGCCATATAGTCCATCTACAGTGTATAGTAAAATGCTCACCAGACTCTACCCTGAGTATGTAAACTTTCATACAAAGCTTTGAGCTTCCAGTTTAGGGTTTGAGGTTTGAGGATTTATGGATTCAAGGCTTCGTGTTGCAGGGATTTTCGCGCCACTTTGGATTTTAGGTTGTTGGGCGGGGGTGAAGTGTTTAAGTAACGTGAACAACTTAAGATCGCGAGTTGAATGCTTAGCGTCTACGGATGCCTCAGGTAGCTCCTGGGTATGGTTTAAGCACTATTGTTTCGGGAAGGAGTACATTGGGCCGTCTGGTCTCTGTATGGGTTGTCTGGGCTCTGGCTTCTAAGGTCAACGCACCCACAGGATGTCATCACATACCGTGTCACATCACATTACATCGGGCCAGATCGTGCCAACGCCATCACCATAGTCAGTACCATGATGTCCATCTTCATCTCCTCCTCCTCTTCTTCCTCTCCTCCTCCTCCTCCTCGTGCAGATAAGTGTACTAAACCCTAGACCCTAAACCCTGCAGAAGAGGAGGCTGTGGGGCCTGCGTTTTACCCACTATGCTCAGTGGTTTTGTATGTTTCGAGCGGTCGTCCTCTCAAACCCTAAACC